TTCATAACCTTTAACTCCATAGGTCATTGACCTAAACTGTAACGGATCAAGTTGTCTGGGGAGATTTCAGGTCTCTCATCTTGCCAGCTGGACTGGAATTTTTCCAACAGCAAAAATGCACTTGGACTTGTACTTAGAGCCAAATAGTTTGAGGGAGGAGGTTTGAGGATAGCAGAATCCACACTGTGTTTTGCCAGATTCTTAGGTTCCAATAAGGAGATTAGGGAATTCCACAAATGCTTTTTTTTATTTCATTTTTCAAAATATTTTTGACATTACTGAAAATCATGATAGATAAAGTGAATACTGAAATGTATAATATCACGTATTTCTAATATGGACACTCTCAGTAAGTCATTAAATGGTTTCCTTGGGGTTTGTGTAGACCACAGTTATGTATTAAACAAATATTTGAAAACACCTACCAATTCCTTTTCTCCAAAATCAAACAAATAAAAAAAAGCAACAAAAATGTAACCAATCAACTGACATAAAAATAGATGTTGAGTCTGTGCAAGCTTATAGATCTGATAATTCGAATTTCAAAATTTTCTAGTTAGCATAGTCAACTGACTTTATGATTAACATATTATATAGGTAAGTACTTACTGAATAAGTTTTTATTAATAAAGAATTGTCTTATATTTTTATATGCTGAGATTTCATTTAAGATTATTTGAAATATGTTATTCATTGGCAAAAAATAAAAGAATATGCTTGAAACGTATATTTTCAGGAATTTATTGAAATATGTTTTGATAAGTCTTTTAAAATCTTTCATGAGATGGCCATGTGTTCCTCAAACTGTATTAGTCATTTCATATATCTAAAAATGGTCACCATTTTGTAAAAACTTGTGTTATTTAAATATACAGACAGATTACATAGTTTCTTGTTTCATAAATGAAGAAACTTGGACACTCTTAAAATAAGTCAGTTTCAGGAAGAATCTGTGAGAAGTAGGAGGAAGAAAGGAATCACTGTCTCATCAGTCAGACCGGTAAGATGAACATGTTCTCTTAATGGTTGGACACACACAAGTCACAGTCAGATCAGTGTCCCGGAGGTCAGAATCAATTATGTAGAATAAAAAACTGGTCATTAGCCGTGCTAAGCCTTGGATTATCTCAAAATTACTTGTATATGTGACTGAACAATGAAGGCATAAAATAATTGTACTGGAAGAACTATTACTGTGTGTGTGTGTGTGTGTGTGTGTGTGTGTTTAGTGCCAGTGAAATTAGGAAGGGGGCATTGGATGACTGATTGGTAAACTCATGTAACACAATGAGACAAGGGACACTAAAACAGGCAGTCTTGTTTCTAATCCTAGGACTTTCCCTGAATCCTAGTGATCTTGGATAAATCACACTGCATATCTTAAGTGGAAAAAGTTTCTCTGCCTACAGATTGAGGGGTATATACCCACTAATGACAATCCAGCTTTAGAATTCTTGGATTCTATGATTTTTAGGTAAAAAAAAAATTGAAGGTGGGTTAAAAAAAAAATCACCAACTAACGTCTTGTAACCCAGAACATACCAAAGAAAAAGTTCAAATCTCCGGTACTTCTCTTCATTAAGTTGACAGTGGAGGTGGCAGCAGCGTTGATAACCTCTGATAATTACTGTGCTATTTTTCCTAGGAAGCATGCTCTTCTTCTCTGCCCTTCCCATTCACCTATTCAGCGCCTCTGCCATACTGATGTTTTACTGATGAGAAGCTTGCAAGGGCACCATAGTTCTCAGGGGTTTGGTGAATACAGAGTAAACAGTGAAAATCCACTGGTAATGGCTTGGGGGTAGAGAGTGGTACCTGCACAGAAAGTTGGGACCTGAGATGCAGAAAAAGAATTATCATCAGCAGAGTTAGATTTGCTTGGGAGATGTATACTGACATGTGGCATGTTTGTCAGCATAAATCAGTGTCTTCCTATCTTAGTCCATATGGGCCGCTGTAACAAAACACCACCTCCTAGGCAGCTTATAAACAGCAGAAATGTATTTCTCATAGGTCTGGAGGCTGAGAGTCCCAGGTGAGGGTGGCAGCATGGCTGGGTGCCAGTGAGCTCCTACTTCTGGGTTGCAGATGGCCAGCATCTAGCTTTGTGTCCTCACACCTTGGAAGGGGCTGGGATCTCTTTGGAGCTTCTTTTATGAGGGTAATAATCGCATTCATGAGGCATCCACCCTCGGGACCAAATTACCTCTCACAGGCCCCACCTTCTAATACGGTCACCTTTGGGGCTTAGGGTTTTTAACATGCATTTTGGGAAGACTCAAGTATTCAGAGTATAGTACTTACCCTACAGAAAACACTTGAAAACTGGACCCAGGGGTTTCTGAGCATGATCTCTATACCTTCTCCAAGCCTCTCCCCAAGGAGAGAGGCCTCTGACTGCTCCTCTTCAGGGGCCCTGCCCAGAGCTCTGCAGAACATCAGGGACACCACCATCCTCTTACCCCGTGCTGTGAAGGCACTTTTGGCTCTTCCTTTGCATAAGGGAGCTGCCTTTCTCCGAAGTTCCCAGTGATAGATACTATAGTGTGGCCATGCACATGTGTATGTGTGGAGGTGAGGGTGTGTGTGGGGGGTGGGATGGGCAGGTGTAGGATGGCCTTGTAATAAATAGCAAAGCCCTCGGGTAATTGATTGACTGAAAAATGTGAGTGTTTTGTTTTTTTTTAATTGAGAATATTTATAGAGCCAGTGAGTTAGAAAGAGTGTGATAACTGGGTGCCAGAATCAAAAGAAGATAAGCAATAGTATCTTTTTTTCTAAAAATCCTGTCATGGAGAATATTCTGAGAATTTCATTGTGTCTGGAAATTTTAATATTTCTTATAAACTGTCTAGCAGTAGCCATACTGGTTGCATTTGTACAATGTGTCAGACAGGCGCCCTGTGACTATTCGCTCCATTCCACAGGTGAGAAGACTGAGGCATAGAGTGCTGAAGCTTTCTTCCTGAGGTCTTGTAGTGATAGAGCTTTGGCTTTTGCACAGATAATCTGAGCCACTAGGCAATGCTGTCTCCTGTGACCGAGGGGCAGTGACCACTGGCAGCTTTCTACAGCTGGGAAGCCAGTTAGAAAACCAGCCCGAGGGTCAGGGTCAGGAGCCATGGTTCTGCCTGATAGCCAGTAATTGCCACTGCAGCCGCTTGTATGCTCCTTGCCTGAAAGACTTATCTCTGTGTGTGTGTGTATAGATTTCTAACTTGTCTTAGAGGAATCCTGCTGGTCTCTATTTCACATCAGGTGAGATACTGGCAACTCTTCAAATGCAGGCTGGCTTCCAGGGGCGCTTACCAGCAGGGGACCCTGGGCTTCAGTGCATGCACTGAGTTCATGTGCTTCCCCTGCACGAAGATGTTTCTGTTGGAAACCTTACCTCTGCATGGTGCCCAGCTAAATAAAAATAGACTCTGCTGTCATATTCCCTCCCTGAAGGCCTCCTTAATCTGGTTCTTCACTGTGGGCCAGACCTCAGCCATAACAAAGAAAGGGGACGTTTTCCCCAGATGGCTTTGTGGTGAGATGCCATGTGCCAACCATGCCTCTGGGGTTATTTTCAGAGGTTAACTTGGAGGGACACAAAGAAGGTGACAAAGAAGCCATTACAGTGGTTGGAGAAGGCAGTTTTCACTGAGTGCAGGATGGCAGGGCCCCCATGGTGGGGGGCAAATTCTGAGAAGCCTGAGGGGCAAATTCTGAGAAGCCTGAGTACTGGAGTCGGTCCTTGAGATGCAGGAGACCACCCTGAAGGGAACTGAGTCCCATCTCCTCCTCCAGCAGTGTGTGTGTGTTCACTCACGCTGCTGGATGTCAGCTTCCCTGTCGCTTTGTCCTCCACATGCCTGTCTACACCAGAGGCGTGTCTCTTGGTCCTCGAGGCTGTGCCCTCGGCCTCACTTGACAGTCACTTGTCACTTCTACTGGGACAGCCTCTGCTTCTGACACCCACCTACCTTTCTATATAATTAATCTGCTTTTGTTTGTTACTGGTGTTGGAAAAAGTTTATTTTATTTTATTCCATTTATGTATTTATTTTAGATCTAACCTTGGACCAGCCCCTTCTAACATAACCTCAGCTTCACAGGGACTCCCGCTCCCCGTCCTGCATTCTTGGGGTCTGCTTTCCAATGCTACTTGCCAATTTTCCCTGCCTTCTGCTCCTGTGCTCTGTTTCTCATCTGCATGGAGTTCCTTCATGATTTGAGTTAGAGGCCAAAGCATTTCACATGAGGGAGGCCCATCTGTTTTTTCTAAAAGCCGCAGCAGTAGGGCCCAAAGCGTCGTGTGGCCCGTACGTATGGCTTTCTCTCCCTGTGTTCTTCTGACCTCCATTGTATGCTGCACTGCTCTGTTCTTCCCCTTCACTGTTGAAAGCTGATAGTTCCCTTCTCTCTGGCGTCCTCTTTCACACTTGGGCACACCGGCAGGGCTGACTCTTTCAAGCCCTGGGTGGCAGACCAAGACCCTGTTTGTAAATATATGATACACTAAATCAGTCTAGCAAGACAGAGCACTAATACTCAGACCATTGTTGAATTCAAAACCTGGACATGTTTTAATTACAAAACTTGGTGAATGCGGGTGACCGGTAAAAATGACACATGAAGAATGGTTTTATATGATCTTACTTAAGTTTAGTTTCAGAATCAAATGCCAATGTTGTTTTTGTCCATTCACGTAGATCAAGGGAGCCAGTTAATAATGTAGACTTACCTGAGTCTCACACACACGCGCATACATACGCGCGCACACACCTTGTTCCTTAACTTTTTCGCCCATCTCAAATGTGTGTCTGTTGAATTATCGAATGCCTTCTTGAACTCTGAGGTCCCAGGAAAGTTGTGCTACATGTGGTCTTAGCAGGAGGATGCTTTGGAAGCCAAAAATCATTGTTTCTTTTCCTTCTTTGTTCTCATGGATTTTTATGAACTGTAATTTTTTTGCCCTATTAAAAATAAACTTGCTCTCTTTTTGTATTTTGTAGAAACTACCTCTTCAGGTTACAGCTTGAGGATTTGTCTCTGATCCAGGTAGGTGCAATTTATTTTTCTACAGCTTTCATTTTCCATCTGAATTAGCTCACTGTTTGAGGGACTGAAGACAGATGCATGTAAAGGTATTAATCAGGCTGCTCCAGGGGTCCTTTGCATCAGCAGGTTAGGCCTCAGGACTCTTGGCCGCCCTGTTTGGTGTGAGTCACCACCTGCTTAAATTCATTGTTGGCCCTTTTCTCCCACCATGCAGCTAGCCCCTCTTCCATTCATGGGCCTCATCCGACTTTCTCTCCTGTAAATGGTAAATAATTCAAAGGACATTCCCTCAGTGTCTGGGAGCATCTTTTTCTGCCCCTGTTAGAATAATCATTGATTACTTAGTTTGATGCTTTTAGCCATCTTATTCTTACAAAAATCAGCCCCCTTTGAAAATCATTGTTACCTCTTTATAATTTATAATTAAATATAAATGTGTGTTAAAAACTACATCTAGCAAAGAATAAGTGATGACAGAAAAAATGCAACTTACCTATGTCTGTGTTTATTGTTTTTGAGAAGGAGCCTGATACTCTCAGGTCTGAATGGAGTATTTATTTTATTGGTGGCTCTGAACCATAAAGGCCCACGCTGTCCTCTAGTCTTTTAGGAGGGTCTGATGACCAGGGTCTCCTTGGAGAAGGAGAGAGTTATGACACAAATATCTTTCACTGAGGTTCTAGAGCTCCCGAAGGAACATGCCAGAATCCCAGGGCTGTGTCACTTGGAAAAAGTTCTTCAATTAGTTTTAATGCCACCCTCATGTGCTAGAGTTTGAGGAAGTGATTAGAGAGAAATTTATATTATTTTCTCCTATGATGTTGGTGTTTATGAACATTCTGAAAACTTTGGAGCAAGAGCTTCATATTAGATCTTTTTTCCATCAGGACCTTACAACAAGCTAGTCCCACAAGTAAAGCTAATATTGGTAAAAAGCAGAGTCTTTGAAGATGGTAGACTTGGTGGTCTAGCTCCACGACTGCCAACACTGGTGGGTTTCCTCTTTTGTGAAGTGGTCACAAAACGCTATCTTCCCCAGAGTGTCACTCATAAAATACATAAAGTCAGGCATGCACAAGAGAGGAGGCACAGTGTTTTCTGAACAAATGGTAATTGCTTATGTTTTTAAAATGGACTAATAGGAATAAATAATACATTATTGTCCAAATTGTTTCCTCACACTAGGCAATGAATTGCCTTTCCACTGCAATTAATTATATAACTAAAGTCTTTAAGTGAATTGATTGGTTGGTAAAATTATAATGTATTAACAATGACTCAGAATGATCAGCAATTTAAGCAAAACAGCATTTTAAAACTCCAATTTTTAAATAACATTTTATAAAAATATAGACCTTTCAATAGCTAAGAAATGTATATAATGCTCATTGTGATTCTCATGGTATAATATATTACCTGGCTTATTGTATGTGTTAAAAAACTAAAATGTGTAGATATGTGTGTACATAAGCGTATTCATTGATTTCCTAACTCTCTTGGTTTAGAGGGTTTGGAAGGCAGCAATGAGCACACCTAATACCCAGTCCTGGCTGTCTAAATTTCATTCTCCACCAAAATAAATCAAGGTTTCTTATAAAAGCAGCTGATTCTAGGGCCTGGGTAATAGAAGTCCCAGCTGCCTGGAAGATTTTGTTGTTTCAGAAACTAAGAAAGTATTCAAAGAACAATGAGGGCATGTCAAAAGGATCTAAGAGCCAACTTGAAAGAGGCTCACTGAAGAAATCTAGGACAGTTTGACTGTTAAAGTGAATAAGGATGGCATCGGATTATTACCGATTGAATAAACTAAGAATTGATGAGTATATACTGACAAACAATAAGAGAATAAATAAACAATTGAGACAGAAGGGACTGATCTTCCTTACTGTAAAATGTCAAAATGAGTGCTGAAATTTATGGGTGAGATTTTGATGGCCAAGATATTTATGTATTCTGAAAGTATTTACCTATAAAATACTTATTAATAATAAGAGGAAAACTTGTGACTTAGTAGTGAAAAACCTGGTCAGTTTCACCATAACCACTTAGTTGAATGTACCCTCACTTGTAATGGTACAGGAAACTAGTATAAGTCTCCTGATTCCGTGTGCTTAGAAGTACACAATAAGATTTCCATACTATTCCAGCCAAAAATTATAACCAATTTCACTCTGAGAAGACAGCACACAAACCAAAACTGAGGGACGTTCTACAAAAATCTTGCCTCTAGTTTTCAAAAATCACCAAGTCATGAAAGGCATAAGAAGAATAAAGACCTATTTCATCATAGAAGAGAAAAAATAGTCATGACAATCAAAGGAAACACTTGTTCCAAATTATATCTTGGAACAGAAAAAAGAATGTTTGTGCCATATTGGAACAATTGGCAGAATTTTAAGGTCTGTAGGTAAAATAACAGAAATGTGTTAATATTGATTTACTGATTTTTATACCTGTAATGTGGTTATATAGGAGAATGTCCTTGTTCTTTGAAAAATATCTACCAAGGTAAGTAGGGGTAAAGAGTATCATTCCTGCAACTTATTCTGAAATAATTTTAAAAACTGCAATATGTGTGTATGTATATTACTATAGACATGTAATACACATACAGTCGTGCAGAAAGAATGATAAAGCAATGTGATTAAAAGTTAATAGGGGGACTGATTCAAAGATAGCATTGAAATGTAAACTATAGCTGAAAAATAAAAAAAAAAGTTAATCAGGGAAATCTAAAAGTCTGGGTGAATAGCTTACGAGAGTACATTGTACTTTTCTTGCTGTTATTTCAAAATAAATAGATGCAAAAACTTGGGAGATGCATTTGCCAGTAGCCCATGTATGATATTATTGTGTGGGAAGGGAAACTGCTTTTCTCATCCTTGTTTCCCATTGTCACGACCGCCTGTGGTGGAAGTTAGGGTTAGGTTATTGGTGGAATTGAACTGTTATTGAAGTGTGGGAAATCCATCAGCCTCACCACCCACTGAGAGATTATAGTCTGTGACATAGAGCCAAGCAAGAAGGCAGGCGCTTTCTGAATGGTGGCCTTGACCTCAGGGTCCGAATATCAGGTGGCAGACCTGACAGCAGCCCTCATCACATTGGTGCAAAACATGCCACTCTCACATTCTCAGTTGTGTGTGACACCTGGTAGCTCACGGTTTACTCAGTGTGGAGAGGGGTGAAGATGGCAGTTCTTCCCATCAGACGTTTTTCTTTTTCCTGTACGTCTCTGATACATGTCTTGTGGATTTCTATGAATATTTTATTTTAATTTACATGACTATTTCCAAGGCTAATAAGAAAGAGTAGGCACATCGATGAAGAAAGGGCTGTAACAGTGTTAGAAACAGCTCTGTCCAGAACATAGTGTGAACCTCATTGGTATATGAAGATTATCTAGTGGTGGTCACATTGAAACAAGTGCCAAGATGCAAGAGAAATTACTTTCAATAATATACTTTACCTAACTCAGTATAGCAAAACTATCATTTCAACATGCACCCATTACATTATAAGAAATTGAGAAATTACGTTCCTTTTTTTGGTATGGAGTCTTCAAACTCTCCTGTGTGTTTACCCTTGGAGCATTTTCCTGTTCGGACTAGGCAACATTGAAAAGCTCAGGGTGACTGAGTGCAACCCAGTTGGACAGTGGAGTTCTGGGTCATGCGTGACAGAAGCATTTATGTCTTGGATGCCTTCAGTCATGTTATAGAAATGTTATTTTCTACCAGGGAGCACCTAGATTGATCTGGATATCTGAGGCTAATACTTTTCTCCTTCTCTGTGTCTCCAAAAATAGAACACTTTTTAAACATGAGAAAATGAGGAAACTGAGTCCAGAGAGAACAAGCAACTTGCAAAAATAGAAAAAAAAATGGAGAGCATGAGAATTGAGAATGCACGGTAGCTTTTTTTTTTTTTTTTTAACACCAGACAGGCTTTATTTGGTCTTGCGCCTCTCTCTGCCCAACAGCTGGGTCCACTTCCTGGTGGCAGCTTGCATTGCTCCTGTCTTTCCCCATCACCCATAGGGACTTGGGACACTTCCACCTTGTCTGTAAGCTGCTTATAGCTTCCCACACTGGAGGTGATTGCCCAGCTTTAGGAGTTTGCTCCTGTTGTCCGCTCCTAGAAATACTTTTACCCTATCATCTTCTCAAACTAGAAAAAGACGGCCCATCCCGAGTCTCACTTTAGCCATCCCCTCTTTGTAACCCATCCTAAGTCTCTTTGGGCTGATGACCCTCTGATGCATTTTATAGTCTTTGAGCCTTTATTTCTGACTAGAGCCTATTGCCTTACATTGAAATTCACAGTGTGTGCCATGAGGAGCATTGCATTTCTCTTTGTCTCCTCAGTATTAGATTAGAGCAGATCATTAGATTAGGTAACCTGACAGGTGGTAGACTCAAAACAAATGCCTGTGAAAGTTTTCACCCCTTGATATTTAGTAACACATTCAGTCCTTTTTTTAAAAATCTTTTTTAAAACTTACCATTAGCCAAGTGCGGGTAAACTTCATATTTGTGTCCCTAACACAGAGATGGAAATTAACACAGTCTGAGACTAGAACAATGAGAAATACTTGCTGAAACAGACATCCTGCTGTGCATACACACACCCCAAAAGAAGACTCTAGAACAGTACAGGTTATTCCTGACTGTCCCACTCATCTGTCTGCTCAATACTGTTCTGCAGTTTTCCTCTTCCCCAAATTCTCCTCTCTTTACATTGTTCTAGGATCAGTCCTGAGAAGACAGACATTGAATAATATTTTCTTAAAACTCAATTTAGTGATTTTCACAAAATTCCAGAGGTCCTCCGCCCGAACAGTGTCCCCCAAATTCAATGTGCTGCTTTGCTTTACATAGAGTGGCCAGCATGGTCCTTGGCTACAGTAAGCACCCCTTAGTGCATCTTTTCCCTCTCCCCTTCCTCAAGTCAAGGTGGTCCCCGCATGGCGACTTGTTGATCCTCAAATCTGTTGTTTA